TATTCTGACAGCCAGCTGGCCTTTTTGGGGCAAATAACATTGCTGAACCTAGACCTTTTATCCAGTGGAAGGCTCTGACCTAAATCCAGGTGGCGACTTTTCTTTTTTGGACATTCAGTGTATATAAACATACCAATAATAATCTTATCTCATCTGTGTAATTCAAAGACACAAATTAGTCATGCAAATACAATGTCTAAGACACTTTTCAATGACAGAGCACTATTGATTAAATAAAAGCAGGTTTAAAAACAAAAACAAAAACAAATGCCCTTTAACAAAATAATATTCTAAATCCTGTAATATAATAAATGATCAGAAAAACAGACTCAGCACAATCTAACTGCAAATAAAAAGGATGTGTAAAGGAATTTTTAAGAGGAACTCCAGGCAAACCGTTCTTGGTTTCCTTTAGTATGGTTTTATCCCCCTATCCAAAAAAACTGCTTTACTCGCGGTTTCACTTTAAAGGTAACTAACTTGATTGTTTAACCAAGATAAAAAAGGTATTCAAGATTCTCTAAATCTCACAGTAATTCCAAAAGGAACAAAAAATATTTTAAAACATTTCTAACACAACACTGTAAAAGACACAAGTAGAGTGTGAAGTTTAGACGTATAGAAGGGCACCAATATTTCCAGAACTGCAATGCTATAAAATCCGTATTTTCCCCAAACTGCAAAGCCAACAAGTATCTCTATTCTTCAAAGAATTCAGGATAGAAATTGTTTGTGAATAAATAGGGTCTGCAACCTGTTCTATTGTATCCATACATGTGTGGTGTATTGTTACTCTGTGTGTAAGAGATAGCACAAAGAGTAAGATGATATTCTCTAAAGGAATTTATCTGATTGTTCACTAGTTTCAGAGAACACTAGTCATTTTCAACACGCTTGTCTTACAGACCTGACATTTGTCTTCAAGACCCTTGAATATTCAAGCTTTGTTTACCAAGTGCCATTGTGCTGTTTTCTGAGGTCTGAGAAAGTATTTTTGTTGAACATTTGAAGACAAATTGCCAGTGTAATACATGGAAATTCCAGCATGGTTGTTGTCGGTGTGGGAGTATCCGCTTGACATTTTTTTGTCACATGTATTTTTGGCACCGCAAGATACTTTATTTATATGTGGTTTTGCTGTGAATAGTACATGCGATAGGCCACTGCACATTAACAGCACCTAAAATGTAATTTATCACACATGAAAAACTCATTTAAGATCTAAAAACTATGAGAATTTCACTCCCCTGTCACGGCTCTCTGCAGTGACAGGATCGAGAAGTGAGCGAGCGCCGGTATGTCTTCGCTCACTTCACGATCTACTGAGCCGACCTGTGACAGTTTCATTGTTGATGCTGAGGGAAAAGCACTCACCTCATAATTCTCCTTTAAATCTGCAATCCAGTAAAAACAGTAATAATCGGCTAACTAATCGATTTTGAAAATAATCGTTAGCTGCAGCTCTACTACACATACACTTCTATTACCTGATAAAAAAAAAAAAACAGTACTTTCCCCACAAAAAAAGTTTTTGTTGGTGTCCCTGTTACTACTGAAGATACGTTTCATCACTTCCTGTCTCGCTTATCCCATGTCATTGAGACAGGAAATGAAAGGTCATCTCCACAAAGGGGACAAACACAGCAAAAAAAAAAAAAACAAAACACTTTTACTTAGATCAGTCTATTTTTCTCTCTCGTGACAGGATCCAAGAATAAAGCATAGCTTGATTTGCTCTCAACTTATAACACAGTAAGGACATTTACAGCTGGCACCTAGGTTTTGAGGTTTATTCTAATTGTTTTCAATGAAGCTAGCTCAAAAAAAAAAATCCTGCTGGCTCCTGGATTGGACAGACTGGACTCTGAATTCCATATTAATTTGTCCACCCCAGGTACAAGGTAACATAACTTAGACGCAATCCTTAAAGTGACACTAAATTCAGTAGTTAAATCTTAAAAATGCCTTCAAGTACTCTATTAACAATAATGTATCTTATTTGTGTATCACTCGGCTGTAGATTCTCAAATCATCTCTGAATTGGTGCTGACACTGTCCTTCCTTCTGCAGGGTGGCTAGTTCTATTCCCCATGATCCCTGTGTGTGTTGTACAGTAGCTACCACTCCAAGCAAACTCCTGTGACAATCTCACGTTTAGTTAACTAATTTATATTGAGATTACAGTCTTATCACAGAAGTGAGCTTGGAGCAGTAGCTACTTTACAACACACACAGGGACTATGGAGAACAAACGTAGCCACCTCCAGAAGGAAGGACAGTGCCAGCACAAATTCAGAGCTGATTTGATGATCTACAGCCAAGTGATACACAAATAAGATACATTTTTGCTTATAGTTAAGGTACTTGAAGTTTACCTCCTGAGTCTTGTATCACTTGAACAGTCTCTTGTAATGTGCTAGAAGTTTCTAACATTCTCTTTTAACATGACAATAGTTTCTAACAGATTCCCATCTACCCAACATAATAGTTTCTTGTACTGTGTACTAGTATCTTCTAATGTAGCAGCTCTCTCATATAACATAGCAGCAGTAAAAACAGCATTCACATAAGGCATAGGAAGACACTGCAGATCAAGTGGTGTTGCAAAGCTGCAAGTCATAGGTATAGATCAGGTGCTAGTGTTCGGAAATAAACCCATGCAGGTCTCTGTTTTAGGTCAATATGGCATAACGTAATAGGCATTATGCACCAAGGAAAAAGAATAAAAACATATAATGCATTATGGTAACGGCAAAATATATAATACAAGCAAGTAGCATCTTCCAAATATCTAATGCATGGTTACACAACAAACACTATGAATTATATCCAAGTATCCCCAAGACACGTGCCACAATGAACACTGTTATTACACCACAGTCTCTGCAGCACCTGTGTGCACGCCGCAAGCGGAATTACACTACAAATATGTCAGTCAACATGATGTGTCTTACCTGGCAGCCCTTCTTGTGGTGAAATCCAACCACCACAATGTGCAGCACAGGTCCCCCTCTTCCCCTGCTCCCAGAGGTCTCCTCTCCAGGCTGGAGATCCATGACTGAAGTCAGGGAGACTGAGGCAATTCTGCCACAGCCAGCAGAAGGATCCCTGAAGCCTTTCTGCAGCTAACACTGTAGTATTGATGTCACAACCTAGGAACAAAGGAACAGTAAAGAATAAGTCCAGGTGAGGGTGGGTAATTCTTTCTTGGATCTCATATCCCAATATCATTGCTGTATGCCTATCCCACCCTGCTACAATAGAGAATGTGTTATGTGCTGTTTCAGCCCATGACACTGTTAACTTTTTTTAACTTTATTTAGAGTGTACAAAGTGTACACTTCATTCAGGTCTCCACTCCAGTGCGCTGCGAAAGAAATGCAGAATGTCTGCATTTTTTCACACCACACCTGCTTTGTGGTGTGAACAATTGTTTTCTATGTGCCCTAATAGTGACAAACTTTGATCAATTGCTGAAAAACACAAGTCACCACGCATCGTGCTAATGAGACCCAACACGTTTTATGTGCATCTGTCATCTCTAAGCCTGATGAAGGGGACCCTGCGAGGCCCCGAAAGCGCTTGCCAATGAGATACAGCTATTGGCAATAAAATATTTTGCTTTTTCAACTTATGGAGTGCTGGTGACATTTTGATTGTTCATGTGTGGCGTGCCATCCACAACTTATGGTGTGCCATCCGCAGTCATTTCGAGCACCCATCTTCATCAAGTGGGAATCCCGGTAAGGAGTGCGGTATGGTTTCTGTTTATGTGCATCTGTGACCCTTCCAGTCATGGGCAACCAAGAGATGGATTTGCAAAAGGTCAAAGACAGTTGTTAGCACTGAGAACAGAATTTCACCCTAAACACATTATTGGAATTATGAAGGGGTCGTAGGGAGATTTTATTTTGTTACAGTGATACATAAGAGCAGCAGGAGGAATTTATGAATGAAGCTTATGGGTACAAATCTTCTGCCCACTGAAAAGCTGGGTGAATGCTGGCTGTATAACATTATCACCACTAGATGGAGACGAGGAGCATATGAATTTCCTATGCTCATTGGCTCCATCTAGTGGTGATAATGCCCCGCAAATAATATTCGCCCAGCTTTACACTGAGCCCCTTTAAGTAAATTAGCACTTTCTCAGCCAAACTGGGATAACACCTACTTTATATTTATTACATCTTCCCATTTACATAGCATAACTTAAACAAATAATACAAATTGCTGCTTATCTTTTTAAGTGCTTTTTACTTGCTCACAAAGCTCGCTCCATGTAATGTTAAGGGGGATGGGGAGTTAATGTTTACCATACGGCTGCCTATAATGCGATGACAAATCTCAATATCAGTTGTAAACTTGATCTCAACCATCTGACTTCAAGGCTTGTGCTCTGCAATGTATGTTAGAGGGGAAACTCACTCTGTCCCCACTTTATCCCTGTGAAATGGATTAGAAAAGCTTGCAGTCCTGTATATAATAATAGCCCCCAGAGACAAATAAAAAGGCCCCAAAAAAGCAAGATGTTTTTAAAAAAATGATTTCTGGGTATCTTGTGTGAATGGGAACACAAATATATAATGGGGGTTATTACGGAAGTGGATATACACTGTAACTCTGATAGTAATGTTTAGCACCGCCAGGTTGTAAGACAGAACTGATCAATGTCCCTCACTGTGTGCAGATGTGTACAGAATATGTTCCTAGGTTACTGCTGTTTTCCCTTACATCTACTCTATGGGTCACCATACACTTTACAATCTGACCATACAATCAACTTCAGCCAAACAAAGATCAGGACCGACCTCATCTATGCACTACAGAGTTGATGTTAGCTCTAATGGAGCTTGCACAGACAGATTATATGGCATGATTAAGAAACATGTGATACAGATCTTGCAATGTGCGTAGCCACTTGTAGCTTGTCATCAGATAACCAATCACTGTCTCCATGGCTGTTAATTTACATTCTGTGAAAGTCTCCTCCTAGCCTATCTGCTCGATCCCTCACACAGGCAATATATAGTGATCGGTAGAGTCCTACCTCCTCCACACACCGTCACTCTCCTCTCTGTCAGTCCTCAGCAGCCATCAGACTTCTCTGGGCTTATCACAGCTCCCAAACAGCAGCTCGTCCCTGCCCTGAGTATGAGATCCACACTGTGAGTGCGACTACTTCCTGGTCACATGGCCTGCCCATCATCGATCCCATCATGCACCGCTCCTTAAAGCGACTGATCACCTGCTCTGTGTAGAAGACGATTAGAGACGATAGCTGAACGGAAATGACAGATTCGGAGTGTGTAATATAAAAGGCAATTGTAATATATGAACTGTACTCATATTTATATGGCTTTAGTAATAAAATATATGTTTATCCTGTGCTGTGACAAATACTTGCCGAGTGTTAAGACTTAATGTGACATGGGGGTGATGGGTGTCAGGGTATTTGAATGAGGTGGGTGGCGGCGTAGCAGTAATTCAGCATTGGTTCCCATTCTCTTGTAAATATCACTGTCAAGACTATTTTTAGTGGGGGGCCATTAGCCCCTATCTTAATTTTGGTTGCCCCTGTCTGCCTGACATCATGTGTCCGGGTTTCAGCTGCCATGAAACCTGGACACAGCATTCAAAACCCGGACTGTCCGGGTGAATCCTGGACAGGTGGCAACCCTACATTAAAGGGTGGAGAATGCCCCGGCCACAACTGATTGAGAGGTGGGTGTGTTAGTGACAGTTCTGCACAGGCTTGCTGAACATCATTGTTAAGGATTGGACGAGCCATTGGGTTGGTGGGTGCCCAGGTAGCACTCAATTCAGCACCTGCTGAAATTCAGTATCCCTGCAGCATAAGATGGGGTAGGCAAACTCCAGCCCTCCAGCTGTGGAGACAGCAGACATTTGTTAGGAGACAGTTCTGCTTGAGGGCCCATTCACACTTGTGTGTTGCAGCAATGCACACAGACACAACGCATGCTGATGCACCTTCTCTATAAGAGATTTCACAGCCCCAGATAGCGAGGGGATACCAGATTTCACAGGCAGTGTCTTAGTGAGGGGATAACAGTTTTCCGAGTTAGCGACGCGATACCAGATGTCAGACTGTATTAGTCAGGGGATACCAGATGTCACAGACTGTGTTAGTCAGGGGATACTAAATTTCACAGACTATGTTAGTGAGGGGATACCAGATGTCAGAGACTGTGTTAGTCAGGGGATACCAGATGTCACAGACTGTGTTAGTCAGGGGATACCAGATGTCACAGACTGTGTTAGTCAGGGGATACCAGATTTCACAGACTGTGTTGGTCAGGGGATACCAGATGTCCCAGACTGTGTTGGTCAGGGGATGCCAGATGCCACAGATTGTGTTGGTCAGGGGATGCCAGATGTCACAGACTGTGTTGGTCAGGGGATACCAGATGTCACAGACTGTGTTAGTCAGGGGATGCCAGATGTCACAGACTGTGTTAGTCAGGGGATACCAGATGTCACAGACTGTGTTAGTCAGGGGATACCAGATTTCACAGGCTGTGTTAGTCAGGGGATGCCAGATTTCACAGAGTGTGTTAGTCAGTGGATACCAGATGCCAGAGACTGTGTTAGTCAGGGGATGCCAGATGTCACAGACTGTGTTAGTCAGGGGATACCAGATGTCACAGACTGTTAGTCAGGGGATACCAGATTTCACAGGCTGTGTTAGTCAGGGGATGCCAGATGTCACAGACTGTGTTAGTCAGGGGATACCAGATGTCACAGACTGTTAGTCAGGGGATACCAGATTTCACAGGCTGTGTTAGTCAGGGGATGCCAGATGTCACAGACTGTGTTAGTCAGGGGATACCAGATGTCACAGACTGTTAGTCAGGGGATACCAGATTTCACAGGCTGTGTTAGTCAGGGGATGCCAGATGTCACAGACTGTGTTAGTCAGGGGATACCAGATGTCACAGACTGTTAGTCAGGGGATACCAGATTTCACAGGCTGTGTTAGTCAGGGGATGCCAGATGTCACAGACTGTGTTAGTCAGGGGATACCAGATGTCACAGACTGTTAGTCAGGGGATACCAGATTTCACAGGCTGTGTTAGTCAGGGGATGCCAGATGTCACAGACTGTGTTAGTCAGGGGATACCAGATGTCACAGACTGTTAGTCAGGGGATACCAGATTTCACAGGCTGTGTTAGTCAGGGGATGCCAGATGTCACAGACTGTGTTAGTCAGGGGATACCAGATGTCACAGACTGTTAGTCAGGGGATACCAGATTTCACAGGCTGTGTTAGTCAGGGGATGCCAGATGTCACAGACTGTGTTAGTCAGGGGATACCAGATGTCACAGACTGTTAGTCAGGGGATACCAGATTTCACAGGCTGTGTTAGTCAGGGGATGCCAGATGTCACAGACTGTGTTAGTCAGGGGATACCAGATGTCACAGACTGTTAGTCAGGGGATACCAGATTTCACAGGCTGTGTTAGTCAGGGGATGCCAGATGTCACAGACTGTGTTAGTCAGGGGATACCAGATGTCACAGACTGTTAGTCAGGGGATACCAGATTTCACAGGCTGTGTTAGTCAGGGGATGCCAGATGTCACAGACTGTGTTAGTCAGGGGATACCAGATGTCACAGACTGTTAGTCAGGGGATACCAGATTTCACAGGCTGTGTTAGTCAGGGGATGCCAGATGTCACAGACTGTGTTAGTCAGGGGATACCAGATGTCACAGACTGTTAGTCAGGGGATACCAGATTTCACAGGCTGTGTTAGTCAGGGGATGCCAGATGTCACAGACTGTGTTAGTCAGGGGATACCAGATGTCACAGACTGTTAGTCAGGGGATACCAGATTTCACAGGCTGTGTTAGTCAGGGGATGCCAGATGTCACAGACTGTGTTAGTCAGGGGATACCAGATGTCACAGACTGTTAGTCAGGGGATACCAGATTTCACAGGCTGTGTTAGTCAGGGGATGCCAGATGTCACAGACTGTGTTAGTCAGGGGATACCAGATGTCACAGACTGTTAGTCAGGGGATACCAGATTTCACAGGCTGTGTTAGTCAGGGGATGCCAGATGTCACAGACTGTGTTAGTCAGGGGATACCAGATGTCACAGACTGTTAGT